GCCGCGCAGATCCTCCACCTTGGCCGGAGAATAGGCCTCGCCTTCCTTGAAGGGCACACGCCGTTGCAGCCAGACCGTGTCGACCTTCTCGGTGCCGGAGAAGCGCACCGGACCCATTCTGGCGACCGGGCCAGGTTCGGCGACGAACGTGACCTCGGCTTCGCGGGTGGCGTGATCGACGATCACTTCGCGATCCTTGATGGCCGCCAGTGCGTGGCCCTGTTTGCGCAACTCCTCCAGCAGCTTGTTCTGCGCGGCGATGATGGCGGAGGCGTCGGCCGGGTCGCCCGGTGCGATGCCGAGCTCGGCGCGATCGATCCCCGGGAGGGATTGCTGCGCACCGGGCGGGCGGATGGTGATCGAGCCGATGCGGTACCGCGGCCCGGTGTCGATCGTGATATTTACGCTGGTCGCATCGGTGTCGGGCCGGGATTCGAGGGCTTCTAGCGCCGATGCATCCGCAATCGGCTTCCCGTCGATCGTGGCGTTCAGCGTGGCATCGTAGTAGCCGCGCGATCGCAGGGCGGTGTTGAGTCGGGAGGCGACGGCCTGCGCGCCCTGAAGGACGCCCAATGCGTCACCCGTCAGGGGCTGCTGTTTCTCGAAATCTTCCGACAGTTCCTTGAGATCGGCGCTCATGCGCTCGTCGCCCGTCACCGTGAGGACGATCTTGCCGGTACGCGCATCGGCAGCGCGCAGCATGAAAGCCGCCATGCATGCCCACGTCAACGAGACGAGGCAGCATATGCGCACCCAACGCAGGAACTCTCGGTTTAAAACGAACATGCCACGCATGCCATACAACGCGTGGCGGTAAAAAGGGATGCCCGTTTATCTGAGGGCGAGCGGCAACTTTTCTCGGCCGTCAACGTTTGCCGCGCTATTTCTTTTCGGCTTTCTCCGACGCCTTCGTAACCGGCGGCCAGGAAATCGAGGCGGCAGCATCGATGATCACCGCCGCATCCTCGGCCAGCAGCAGCCGTTCGGCCTGAAGGGCGCGGGCGGCGGTGCGAATCTTCTGAACGTAGTCGTCGCGATTCTTGTAGAGCGTGGCGATCTTGTCCGGCGAAAAGGCGAGATAGGCGCCGGCGAGCGAGCAGCCGAACGAGGTCGGCTCCTGCTGGGCGGCGTGCACGCCCAGTGGGGCTTCCATGTCGGGCAGACGTACGCCGCCCATCACGTTGCCGTCGGCGTCGCGCCTGGGACGCTGCATGACCGCCTTGGGCAGATGCCGGGGCGCGACCAGCACGTCCGCCTCGGTGGTGGGTTCCAGCGGCATCAGCTTGTTGGCGGGCGGGGCCGCGTTGCTGCCAACCCAGCCGTCGAGAGCCACGAGAGTCGCCCTCGAGATTGGCGCCCAGTCGAGATGCGCGGGCGGCAGCTTGCAGTTGGGCAGGCTCGGCTGCACGACATGCGAGGCGCCCGCGATGTCGTACATGCGGACGTTGGCTGGGATCGGCTGGTCCTGCGCGCCCTCGGCG